TGCATTTTTCTTTCCCGTGTCTTAACCTGTTGGCAGGTGCGACCAGAACAGCCAGTCTCTGCGATTGGAGTTCTTTTCTGTCACAAAGTGTTCAGAAGTTATTTTTTCCTCTTCCCTTGCTTTTACTTCACGAGCATTAGAAGAGCTCAAAAGCAGATTTTCCAAACACCGTACCAGAACAGATCCCTGAAGCAGGAAAGGGAATGTGGACAGCCCCAAATTTCCATTGCTAAGCAAGGCAGCTGTTAAGCAAGTTTTGCCCCATTTTACAACTGTTCTTTTTCTGTGCTCGCCTTGAGTGTCATAGGTCAAGGCTTTTCAAACAGTGGTACGGGTACCACCTGCGGTACATTGGCATCTGGCAGGTGATACGCGGCCATCCTAGAAAAGTGGTAACGGGGGAGGGGAATGAGCTGAACCGGTGGCAGCACCGCACAAGCTGAGCGAGAGACGGCTGGAGCTGCAGGGCTGTCAGGGCTCAGCAGAAGCACCAGGATCAGCGCTTCTTCGGGACTGTCAGGGCTCAGTGGAAGCACCAGGATCAGCGCCAGGCTCCAGCTGGAGCTCGGTGCTGATCCTGGTGCTTCTGCTGAGCCCAGAAGAAGCGCCGATCAGCTGGAATGTTGCAGCATCTCCAGGGTCTTGTGATTAACATTCTGATGCTTGGCAACTGATTCATATTTATGATGGTCACAGTGTCCCAGGGTCATGTGAAGTGACCAAAATCTGCTGCAACCACCCAGCAGACGGGGGGAATAAAAACCAAATAACCCCCCACCCCACCCCCACTGCCAATCCTCAACAGAAATGCTCACAACAATGAAAACCTTGGACAGGAGGAAGAGCGCCGCTAGGCGGGCAGGCCTATTGAACTATTGCAAGTCGAGGACTACCTGTACTTCATCACTTTTTTTCTTTCTTTCTTTTTTTTGGTCATCAAGTTTTTGACACCTTGCTAGGCGACTGGTGGTATTCGGATATTGCCATATCCTAAAAGTGGTACAATGGGTGAAAAGGTTGAAAAACCCTGTCATACGTAATCTATCACGGGGATCCCCAACCTGTGGGCCACAGCCTACTAGTGGGCCGTGAAGGGTTTGCAACCAGGCCGCGGAAACAGCTGACGAGCGTGCACTCACATGCACATCACTTGCACGAGCAGTGGGTGTGTGCACATGCAAGGGCTCCATTTAAGTGAACAGGCGTGCGTGCACACTGCTTGCACAAAGGAACTGTGCGCACTTGTCGGCCACTTGCGCAGATCCATCCCTTCTCCCTCCCTCTGCCGGTCCGCAGAGCCGGAAACATTGGGGAGCTCTGACCTGTCAAATACTGGATTGTTTTTTTTGCGGGCCCAGCGTAATTTGCAATTGACATTAGAAAAGGCAAAAATAACTACCGAACTGAGAGTTTGAGTTTTACTTGTGGCCATTTCTTGATTATTTTATTTCAAGTTCACACAGGGCAATAGGCATTTTAGAATATTCGAGTAGAACAAATATCTAATATAGCGATATTCTATATTACTGTGTGAGTTTTCTGTCAAAGAGAAATTTGCTCCCTTTTGTGTAGATGTAGCCTCGGGGATAGAGTTTCATTTTAATAATGATTGAAAGAAACTTCCTTTTGGTTCTGTTTTTCCTTAGAAAAACTTTTCTTTCTTTCTTTCTTTCTTTCTTTCTTTCTTTCTTTCTTTCTTTCTTTCTTTCTTTCTTTCTTTCCCTCTCTCCTTCTCTCCCTCTTTCTTTCTCCCTCTCTCTCAATCTCTCTCTCCCGCCTCTCCTTCTTTCTTTCTCTTTCTGTCTCCCTCTCTATTTCATCTGCACAGTATTCCTCCACATGTGTTTATAACACTTTTAAATCCCTTTGATGTTTTAACTATTATTATCCAAAAGATAATTCTGAAAAGAATGCAGTAAATGAAAGGTAGGAATTAGAAGTATTTGTGGTTTTTTTCCTTCAGTTGTGATTGAAGGTCATAAGACTGTTAAACACACGGCCAGTGCTGAAAGTGTCACATTTTTGCCTTTCTAGAGCGGGGGTGTCCAACCTTGGCACTTTTAAGTTCTGTTGACTTCAACTCCCAGAATTCCCCAGCCAGCCAAAGCAGATATATCCAAACTTGGTGACTTTAAGACTGTGGACTTCAACTCCCACAATTCCCTAGCCCAGTGATGGCAAACCTTTTAGAGACCGAGTGCCCAAACTGCAACCCAAAACCCACTTATGTATCGCAAAGTGCCAACACGGCAATTTAATCTGAATACTGAGGTTTTAGTTTAGAAAAAACAACTCATACATTAAAACATCTTTTGTCTTAAAAGAAAAACACAATGATAAAGCTTTCAATGATCACAGACAACTTTTTACTGAAAGGTAAAAGTTTGCATTTGGCATGCTTTTGAACAATTAATGTGATTTTTGCTGTTGTATGCATGCTGATAATTTGTCTAACCTTGGCTTATACTTTGTAAGTTTGAGAGCAACATATGCAGCACTCAGGTCATCTGTTAGTCTGTTTCTGGTGTCAGGATTGATATAATTCAAAGCTGAAAACAGCCCGCTCGCTCCAGAGGCTTGTTTTGGCTAGGAAGGGGCTTGAGAAATGGCTTTTTCCTGCAAAAACCTAGCCAAAGAGCGAAGCGCGCGTGCCCACAGAGAGGGCTCTGAGTGCCCCCTCTGGCACACGTGTCATAGGTTCGCCACCAATGCCCTAGCCAGCCAGAGCAGACGTGTCTAACCTTGATGACTTGTGGATTTCAACTTTATTCAGTACCTTTGTAACTTCGGACAGTCACTAAATGAAGGGTTGTAAGTCAAGGGCTACACCTGTATGTCCTTTCTACCAATCGAACGTGGAGAAAATCCTCTTCTAAGACTGGGAGCTGTTACTATTTTTGTAACCCCGTATGCTCATTTTTTTCTCCCTGCCAAGGATGATCGGATGCAGAGCGCTTGTGTCTTTAATCCATGTAAAGATGAGAGAATATGGATAGGTAGCATTTGTCTTGCCAGCACGACATAAGCTACAACTACCAGCACAGAGATTATGAAGTATTACTTATCGGTTCATTTTCTTGCGTGTATTGTAACAGTGATGGGCAGCTCCATTTAAATCCGATCTGGGGTCAGGAGGGTATGCAATCAAGTATTAATCTATTCTGTCAGGTTCCCCCCCCCTCCATCCCTCCTCCAAAAATATACATAAGCAATGTTGCAGTGGTTATAAATAACTTTTCCCCACTAGTCATTTTTGCATGAATCTTCCTCAAATGTATCCATGACTTCATGCAATTTTCCACATTTATGTTGTACATATTCAGCTTCTCCAAAGAGGAGAGTGTATTTATTTTTGATGATGGGAAATATTTTTAGACAGACGCTTGTGGAATTCTTGAATTATTCACCCAGCTGTGTCACAGTAGATTTGGCGGATCGCATCACTGTAGGAAATCCGCCGATGTCTTTGGCGTCTGGTAATATGCAAATCAGAAGTAATGAATACAGCTAGCTTGGAAGCACAGTTGAGCCTAAGCAAGACAGTTAAGTGAATTTTGTCCCATTTTACAACTTTTCTTGTCACAGTTGTTAAGTGAACCACCGCAGTTGTTAAATTAGGAACACGGTTGTTAAGTGAATCTGGCTTCCCCATTGACTTTGCTTGTCAGAAGGTTGCAAAAGGGAATCACGTAACCCTGGGACACTGCAACCGTCATAAATACACGTCACTTCTCAAGTGCCCCAATTTTGATCGTGTGACCATGGGAATGCTGCAACAGTTGTGTGAAAAAAAGTCATAAGTCACTTTTCCAGTGCCCTTATAACTTCAATGAATGGTTGTAAGTCAAGGATTGCCTATATGAGTTGCAGCTACCTAGAAATAAAAGGGAAAAAAAACCCTTTCCGATAAGATTTTTACATAAGCAGAACAGGCTATCAAGGTTGTAGGTTCTCTATATCTGGAAATTTTTAAGAAGAGATTGGACAGTTACTTCTCATGGATTATTTAATTGAACATTGCAGAAGATTGGAGTAGATAGATCGTCCTGGGGATCCATTCCTGTTCTACAATTCTATGTTTGGAGTTGCTATGGGATGCTAATGGATGAAACTGATCAAGGAGAGAACCAACCTAGAACTAAGGAGAAATTTCCAGATAGTGAGAACAATTAATCAGTGGAATGACTTGCCTTCATAAATTGTGGGTGCTCCAACACTGGAGGTTTTCAAGAAGAGACTGGACAGCCACTTGTCTGAAATAGTATAGACTCTCCTTCTTGAGCAGGGGGTTGGAGTAGAAGACCTCCAAGGTACCTTCCACGTCTGTTAGTCTACTATTGGTAGCCCCAGCAAGACATGGACCTATCCATGAATTACATGAATTCTGCAGAAATCATCTGCTACATTTTTCATGGATTTGCTTCTAATTGAAATGATCTAATTTACCTAGTATGGAGACAAAAATTAGATTGCATAAGTTTCACTGCAATACCTCTGTTGTTCTGTACTCTGGATCTTCTATGAACTGCTTAATTTATAGCACTCTTAGCCATTCACAGGTAACAGCCGGACTTATTTTTGAATTTGAATTGGTCTCATTGCTCTTAACATTGATAAATTGCAGCTGCCAAAAATGGAAGATGAAATGAACGGCATATACAGTATTTTGTTTGCTTAGTATTCAGATCTTCACAATTAGAACATCCAGCCGCAGTTAAACAAATAATTGGTTTTCCAGGAGGGTGATCTTTTCATTCCTGACATGTAGAAGAATAGAATGCAATTTTAAAAAAATCAGAAAACAGAGATTGTAGCATGTTTAAATTCTGGACAGTGTCACATTTTGGCACAAAGTAAATGCTGAATAACAATTGTGATTGTGCTATAGGGTATCTGAGCAAATAGACAACTCTAATAATGTTAGCCATCTGTCTCTTTGCAGGCAAGGTGATCCGGTGGGCAGATCACACTCCTGGCAATCAGCCAAGTTCTCAGACACCCCAGCCGATCTCAGTATGATGCAAGTATCTCAGGGGACGATAAGCAGTCCTTGGCACCAAGCCTACCATCCAAGGTAAATCCTGCAACATCTTGACCACAGATCAGCCCCTAAGTGGGGTAATGTGGGGTGATATGTCAATTAGCCCCTTGGTCGCTTTCTTCAACTTTCTGCTCCTAGCCATTGCCAGGTCTTGTTATTATCTATTCTCTCTCTCTCTCTCTCTCTCTCTCTCTCTCTCTCTCTCTCTCTCTCTCTCTCTCTCTCTCTCTCTCTCTCTCTCTCTCTCTGTGTGTGTGTGTGTGTGTCCACATACAATAATACTTTGTCTTCCCATGTCTCTTTTCTGTTCTTCATTTGGTCTTTCGTGGTGGCCCAGTGGTTAGAATGCAGCATTGCAGGCTAAGTCTGCCCACAGCCTGCGGTTCAATCCTGACAGGCTCTAGGTCAGCGGTTCTCAACCTATGGGTCGCGACCCCATTTGGGGTCGATCAACCATTTCACAGGGGTCGCCAAGCAAGGCTGTCCGCCATTTTTTTTTCCCTTTTCCGGCGGGTGCCTTACCTCCCTTGAGCTGGGCCAGCTGGTGGTCGGCCTGCTCTGTCTCTGCCGCTTGCCAGCTACGCCTCGGCCGGCGCAGGGGGCGGAACCACGCATGCGCGGCGCTCCCGGGCAGGGAAAGTCCTCGACTTACAACCGGCTGGGTAGTCCTTGACGTACGACCGGTTTAGTCCTCGACTTATGACCGGTTTAGTCCTCGACTTACGACCGGTTTAGTCCTCGACTTACGACCGGTTGGGGGTCGCGGCATTAAAAAGGTTGAGAACCACTGCTCTAGGTTGACTCAGCCTTCCATCTTTCCAAGGTCGGTAAATGAGGACCCAGATTGTTGGGGGCAATATGCTGATTCTGTAAACCGCTTAGAGAGTGCTGTAAAGCACACTGGAGCGGTATATAAATGCTATTTGCTATTGCTTTTTTGTAGGCCAGTTTGGTCTCTCCAGTAGTCAATAAGCCTTCCTGGTATGCTAGCTTCAGTGAATCTTCTTTACTGCCCTTCAGATATTGGTGTGGTTTTTTTTTTTACTTCTAGCAGCCACATGGATAATTTTTCTTCTAATGCTCTTAAAATCCAGGAGTGGGGTAGGGATGGGGGGGCAGTTCAAGCCACTTTGTAGTAATCTCCTATTTCCCTGGACTTAAAATACTCACATTATTTATTCAGCACCTAGTGTTTCCCTAACAGTTTCTGGATTCATTTGTCAAGGTCATCTCCCTAACTGTCTTCAACTCCTTAGTAAACACTGAACAGAACCTTTTTGTCTGATTTTTAATAATGCATTCATTTTTTTTCCTTGATAGCTTATCAGATTAAATGTGCCCTGTTTGTAGCTTAGGAATTAGCGCTCTTGAACATTTTTCATGTTTTGTATTCATGACAATTCTTTGAAAGTAGTAATACTAATTCCCATGTAATGGTCTTCTTCCGGAACCAAAGAGGATCTTCTGAATATGGTAGATAAGGGGGAAAAAATGAAATTAAAAATAAGGCACTGAGTTGGTTCTCTCCAGCCTCTAGAATTTACTAAAATCAGACTAGGCAAGAATTTAAGATTAGGGACAGCACTTCAGTCCAATTCAGAAAAGTTTGTGTTAGTCTACTTTTAGTCCAACTTAGACCAGTCTAATTTCATCTTTCTGCAGTCCTTAACAAAGCAGTGCAAAATTTCTTGAAGTTTGGGAGAAAAGGTCCTTATTACATAGTCATGTGTCATAATGTTTCCAGTAATGATTTAATCTATTAGTAATGGAAAAACAGAATAATAGAGTTGGAAGGGACCTTGGAGGTCTTCTAATCCAACCCTCTGGTCAGGCAGGAAACCCCATACCATTGCAGACAAATGGGTGTCCAATCTCTTTTTAAAAACCTCCAGTGGTTTTTAAGTAGTGTGTCACATGATGCAGATACTTAAACCCAGGTTTTCCTAAGTCTATATTTATCATTGAACCAATTAGCACAAAAATGGCCCTTTTTCGCTTTACCAGTTTAAAGTAGAGTTAGGGTTAAGTGAATCAGTTGTTAAATTAGGAACACGGTTGTTAAGTGAATCTGGCTTCCCTATTGACTTTGCTTATCAGAAAGTCACAAAAGTCACAGTTGCAGGGACCCCGGGACCCTGCAACTGTCATAAATATGAATCAATTGCTAAACTAATTTGATCCCATGACCATGGGGATGCTACAACAGTTGTAAGTGTGAAAAACAGTCATAAGTCACTTTTTTCAGTGCCGTTGTAATTTTGAACGGTCACTAAATGAATTGTCATAAGTTGAGGAGTACCATAGCCGTCTTCTTAACTTAAAGCCCTCATCTTGGACTTCAGTGCCAAGAATTCCCAGTCCAACACATTTGAAAAGAACACCTTTTTGTGGGCGGCTGGATTGACAAATCCAGGTCTGTTCTCTTCACAGTAGCAATGACAATAGTTTGTGTGGATTTGATGGGGGACTGTCCTAGCCTCCTTGAGAAGAGATGTTGTAATTCTTTCCCCTAACTTTTTGACTGGGGTGTCCTCTGGGACAACCTTGGTGGATGACTTCCTGAAATTATTGAGGTTTGCCAACTTTTTGTTTCTATTTCCGCATCCATTCCTCGTTGCCTTCTTTCCCATCCTGCCTGTTTAATTTCACAAAGCACAGAAAAATCTCCAGTATACTTGGAGTTTCCTGAAGGCTGTCAGCACTTTAAAAAGGGGGGAGAAGGTGGGGGGGGGGAGAAAGACTTAGAAAAGAAGGACATATTTCTCTCTCCCCTCCCCCTCTTCTCCTGATCTTCCTTTCCTCTAATGATGTCTGAATATTTTGGTGATGTTTAGGATGCTTGTGATGAATTTCATGGGTGTAGCTGACTCACATGCATTTCCTAGCAAAGTCTCTTCCTCCTCCTCCTACCCTGGGAGATCTTCTCCATCTATTTTTTCCCCTCCCTTTACAGTGATAAATAAGAGACATGTGTTGCAATGTGAAAATCATTCTTTCTAGGAAACCAGGATGACTGCAGACTAAGAACAGCACGAGGCCCAAATATGGATTTTCGTCCATCCTCTGTAAACTAAACATATCCCTCCGTCCCTTTATAAATCCATTCAACTCTCTCTCTCTCGCTCGCATATCCACGCTAACCAGTGTTCCCTTCTGTGTTTGTACGTCTGTCTTTCTCACTGGCTCCTGTCTTCAGTTCCTCCACCAACGATCTCTCCAACTTCGACCATGGCTTTTTAAGAAGAAGTCCCGACCAGTACAGTTCCAGGGGAAGCATGGAGAGTTTGGATCATCTGCCTGCGGGATACGCCCATCCTTCCTGCCATCTTTCGCCAGCCAAGTCCACCAGTAGCATTGACCAGCTTGCTCACCTTCACAACAAGAGGGATTCTGCTTACAGCTCTTTCTCCACGAGCTCCAGCACCCCCGAATATCAACTGCCTCCCTTCTGCAAGGAGAGGTCCTATTCTATGGAGAACGTGCATTCTCGGGCCAGGCTGCAAGAAGGCGGCATGAGGCAGGCAGACATCAGGTACATTAAGACGGTCTACAACGCCCAGAGAGGAGTTTCAGAGGAATATGAAGTGAAGTCGTCTGCTCTCGTACCCAGTGGTGAGGCCCCTAAAGGTTACAGCGCCAGCAGGCCACATGGCCATCACAAAAGCCCACAGACACGGAATTCGTTGGACAACGAGAACCAGTACGCAAAGGGGCCTCCCATGCCACCCGCCCGAAGTGACAGCTACACAGCAATCAGGCACCACGACAGGCCCAGCTCTTGGTCTAGCCATGAGCAAAGAAAGGCCTTGAGGACCCATCCCAAAAATGCTTGGCTTCTCCTAGGCCAGGGCACGCCTCCTCCGGGACAGCTCTCGAAACCGGCATTCCTTGAAGGACAACTCCACACTGTGATGGAGAGGAGTCCAGAGGGCAGCCCCACCATGAAGCCAAAACAAGGTTACCCCCAAGCTGCTCAACCAGGACAGCCACTGCTACCTACTGGGGTTTACCCCGTTCCTTCTCCCGAACCACATTTTGCTCAGGTTCCTCACCCTTCTGCGAACAACAGCGGGCTGGTGTACCCAGCACTTGCCAAAGAGAGTGGCCACGCTCCGCCTCCTGCTTCTTTTTCAGCTTCCTATGAAAAGGCTGTTCCCTGCAAGCCACTTCCTGTCATGGATGAGAATGGAAACCAAAGCATTCCGAGCAAGGCAACCGTCTTCTACCATCCCGAATGTGGACCATCCGGAGCAGGGAAAAAAAAGATGGACAATGAGACTTCGAAAGTCATCTTATACAGGACCCATCCTCAAGCCTACCCAACCTCTCCGAGACAGGAGGAGGAAGCAGAGCCCACCTACATAGCACAACCCAGCATCCAAGAAAGTGCAAATGATGCCCAATACTTGAACCATGCTTTTCAGCCTTGGTCGTTCCACCTACGAGATGCGATGGCTGAGGGCAAAGCCTGCTGCCCGTCGAAGGCATACAGTCCAGAAGAACAGCAAGAGGATCGGAATGCCAACCTGCCGAGAAATGAGTGCGATCCCACCGCACAAAACCAGTGGAATCCCAATAAGGCGAAGCAGTACCTATTCTCTTCCTTGCAAAATATCCCAGAGAGTACTCAGCTTCAAAACCCCATGGATTTGAAGGAGGTGCAAGCATGTAGGAGTTGCCCGGGTGCCAAGTGGCATGTGGTTAACTATGCCAACCAGGAAGAAAAGGATGGTAAAGAGCAGGTGCCGGAATATTGGCAGGACAGAGAATGGCGTGCCACAGAAGATCACCGAGATGCAATTACAAATGCCGATTACAACAATGGCATGGAACCAAATTATGAGCAGCCTTCCTCTCCGTTGCTCCCAAAGGCCTCCGATTTCAGAGCTGACCAGTTCCGATCTTGCAGCAACAACAGCTTTCAGCCCCCCTGGTCTGGGAAAAAGGAGTCTAGGAAGAACCGATGTTCTGTGCTGGAGAAGGTCAGCAAGATAGAGCGACGGGAACAAGGCCATCAGCGGCCACAGAGTGCAAATAGCTTGACCCAAAATTCTGGATCAAAGAAGTCCAGCGTTGAAGATAGCCGACGTAGACATAACTCTCAAGAGTATGGTCAATTTCTGGATGAACACGGCAGGCCGGCCAGCACAAACAACTCAGACCTGTACCCAAATGTGCTCTACTCAAACGAAAGAAGTACCAGCAAACCAGAAAAGGTCAACCGGTATTCTGCTGAGCAACAGAGGGTAACAGCAGCGGCTTTGGTAGCACCGCCAGATCAGCAGAGCACCTACCGCCACGGGTCCTCTGGCAAGGAGTCACACAAAAAATCTGGGCAGCTGCAGAGGAGCAGAAGTACATTCCAGTTGTTGGATGAACCCGAGAGAGAAATCTTACAGAAAGTCAGTGCCAAGGAACCGCACAGCTCACAGCGGGATGCCCCCCTTAACAGGACTTACAGGAATAGCATTAAGGATGCTCAGTCTAAAGTTTTGAGGGCCACCTCATTCAGGCGCAAAGACCTCAACATTAGTCCTGCCTTGGGGAAGGAGGTCCAGAGAAGTACCCCAAGACCAGCTTCAGCCCACACAGGGATGAGGAGCACAACGGCCTCGCCACATACCCCAAAGGAGAGGCATAGCATCACGCCGACAGAGATAAAGATGGATCCTACCAATAAAGAAGGTCTTCCAGGGCCTCTGCACGTGCACCGTATCGGGGGAAGGAAACGGCTAACCGCTGAGCAGAAAAAGAGGTCTTACTCTGAACCAGAGAAGATGAATGAAATAGGTGTGTCGGATAATGACCTCTCGCCGTCCTCGCTTCAGAAGAAGATGCTCCAGTTTATCTTTGCAGAGAGCACCGTGGCTGACCGGCGCAAGATCTTCGAGAAGGAGAACAAAGCTTGTTCCACCATCAACCTTTCCAGGCCGGAGCTGAAGCAGCTGCAGCAAAACGCCCTTGCAGATTACATTAAGCGCAAAATTGGGAAACGGCCCTCTTCGGCTTCCCAAGAAAGGGAAGGATCGCAGACCCCATGCCGGCAAAACAGTGGCCAAGATAGTCAGTCCTTGTCCCCGGCTTCGAGCATGAATTCTCTTCAAGACCAGAGTCTCTTTCATACTAGGGAGTCTCTAGAATGGGCCTCTAGAATGGGCCACGTTTATTCTCCTCTGCCCGGGCTTCATGGTTGCTTTAATCCCATTGAGTTTGAGAGCAAGATGGCGGGCCACCCGAATCACGGTAGCAGCAAGAGCTCCACCCCCACTTGGCTGAAAGCAGACGGCCGCCCAGATCATCGAGTTAATCCCGAGCTTACGAAAAGTACTCAGACGGATCTTGACCTTTGCACCCAAGCACACCCCGTCCACCAGATCCTGGAGAAAAAGACACGGCTCATCAAGAAGCCTGGGAAATCAGCTTCTGCAGAAGACCTGCTGGATAGGAGAGAAAACCAGCCTATGACCATGCATGTCCGATCCAGGTCATCTCCCTCAGCAGATAAAATGTGCCAGGTACGTACCGATACAGAACACGTTTTACAAGTTCCTCATTGTTCGCTAATCTTGTAACTTCCTTTTTTATTTGCAAAGGTGTGTTTTCTGAAGCTCCAGTAGATCTAGTCCAGGGGTATAAGGCAACCTTGGCTCTTTTTATGACTCGTGGACTTCAACTCCCAGAATTCCTGAGCCAGCATGGCTCAGCTTGGAAACTCTCCCTTTCCCCTCAGCATGGCTGGCTCAGGAATTCTGGGAGTTGAAGTCCACGGGTCATAAAAGAGCCAAGGTTGCCTACCCCTGATTTCTAGTAGAATTTTAAGACCATTTTTTCTTTTTTGTAGACTAATTAGCAGCCCGTTTTCTGCAGCCACATTTCCGTAGTTTGGGTGGCAAGGTATTACGGGGCCCCAGAGGTTTGATCATGGGTATAATATAAACGTAGTCCTCGATTCACAGCCACAATTGAGCCCAAAAAGTGACTTATGACCATATTTCACACTTAACAACCATTGCAGCATCCCCACGGTCACATGATCAAAATTCAGCCGCTTGGCAACTGACTCATACTTATGACGGTTGCAGCGTCCCGGGGTCATGTGATCCTCTTTTGCGACCTTCTGACAAGCAAAGTCAATGGGGAAGCCGGATTCACTTAACCACCGTGTTCCTAACTTAACAACTGCAGTGATTCACTTAACAACTGTGGCAAGGAAGGTCGTAAAATGGGGCAAAAATCACTTAAACAAATGTCTCACTTAGCAACAGAAATTTTGGGCTCAAAATGGTGGTCGTAAGTCGAGGACTATCTGTACTATCCTAGCCCTTCGTTTATTTTATTCACAGTTGGTTGAATAATTCACAATTAGTGGGATAGATCTCATGCAAAGCTCACAAGAGACCCTAAGCAGGGTCACCCTTGTTGTTGTTAGTTGCGAAGTCGTGTCCCACCCATCGCGATCCCATGGACAACGTTCCTCCAGGCCTTCCTGTTCCCCCCCCCCATCACCCTGCATTAATCCAAAATCTAATATGACGGGGGTTCCCAGTCAATGAGATATAATTATATGATCTTTCTGTGCATTTGAATTATCACCTTGGCCAGAGCCAGGATTTCCAAGTATGAAAAATTTGGAGACCCTAAAGGCGGGGGGGGGAGGGGGAAGAGCTTGGGAAAACACCAAAAAAACACAAAAAAATACGGGCTTTTCTCCAGATGCTAAAGATCACATATTTTGAGGAGACGGGATCCCAGCCGGTCATAATTTACTAGGCCCAAAGATTATTTTGGCTGTGGATTGCCTTTCTCTGTTGTAGGTGGGGAAGGCAGCAGCTGGTGAGGGGGGGGGGGCTTTCACTGCTCACCCAAATTTATACGCCGGAGACCCATCAGGCATGCAGGCTGAGACAGGCTAAAAGAGAAGTTGCTGCAAAAAGAGATGGAATGCAGGGCTGAAGACAGATCGGCTGGCGAGATTGCACAGCTATCAATTTCCTCTGTTCTTTAAACAAATTCCTTTGGTGACACGGTTGCATAATTTATAGCCAGGCTGCACGGAACATTATATTCCCTAAGGAGAGCCTGCAATATATATATATATATATTGCAGTCCAAGCTGGGGCCAGTGTGAAATAAACTGCAACTGAAATAAAGTCTTCCAGAAATTATCAAAACTCAGATAAGCTTTGTTTTATCCGTAGCCACGCTGGGCCTTCCCCTCTTTCTCCTCTCTTAAAAAAAAAAAAAAGAAATATGGCTGGATTCCAAAGAAAATAAGAGCCATTAAGAAGCCCAAGGGAGCATTGTGGTTACGTATTTTTAACCATTTAGTTGTGTCTGACTCTTGGTGACTGTACAGGAAGTCCTCGACTTACGATCACAATTGAGCCCCATATTTCTCTTGCTAAGTGAGACAGTTCTTAAAGTGAATTTGGACCCATTTTACGACCTTTCTCGCCACCGTTCTTAAGTGAATCGCTGCAGTTGTTAAGTTAGCAACACGGTTGTTAAGTGAATCTGGCTTCCCCCATTGACTTTGCTTGTCAGAAGGTCGCAAAAGGGGATCACCTGACCCCGGGACACTGCGACCGTCATAAATATGAACCAGTTGCCAAGCAGCCAAATTTCGATCACATGAATTTTGATCACATGGAGGTGGCAACAATAGTCGTAAGTGGGAAAAACAGTCGTAAGTCGTTTTTTCCAGTACCGTTGTAAGTTTGAATGGTCACTACATCAACTGTTGTAAATCAAGGTTTATCTGTATGTGAATCCACCGTTTTCCATCATTGTGTTAATTGGAATGCTTTGTTTTTCATAGCAGAGAGAGAGAGAAGAAGAATTTTTTATTAGGGATCAACTGTCGTCCTGGCTGGAGAAATCCAGATCTAACCCAGATCACCATTTTTATCCTGAAGATCAGATAGCAAGCGAGAATATTCAAACAAGATTGAAATAGATTAAGGAAATGATCTTGCTTCTTGTAAGGCAGCTTTCTAAGTAATCATTTAGTGGATATCCCATCTAATGCATGCCTGTTTCTTGGTAGCTCTTCACAGCTTTTATTTGCATTTAGCCAAACGGCACCACAATATACCCATATGGCAGACATGTCAAACACAAGGCCCGGGGGCCGGATGCGGCCCGTGAAGTGGTTTCATGTGGCCCGCGAAGCCATCCTGGAAACAGTGAGGGAACGGCCCCCGCTGCCTTGGCCCTGGCCCAGGCCGGCCGGGAGCCAATGTACAATTTTGTGGTGGCCATCTATGCTGAAACGCATTCAGTCTTAGCTCCACAAGGCCGTCTGGAAACAGCGAGGAACCAGCCCCTGCCGTGTTGGCCCCGTCCCCTGGGTGCATGCTGGGGAGGGGTCACCCTTTGTGAGGAATGAAGAAATGGACCATGCCTTGGCGCTTGCCCCGGTCCCACCCCCTTCTGCCAGAGACCCTCAGATCTGTCCCACTCCTGCCCAGGCCCCCACGGGCACCCTTGACGCGAACGATGTAGAGCTGGCCATGCCCACCCAGTAGGCCACGCCCACCAGTAGGCCACGCCCACCCAGTAGGCCACACACACACACCCGAGGGCAACCGCAATGCTGATGTGGCCCTCAATGAAATTGAGTTTGACACCCCTGATATATGGGATAAAGAGTAACTACAGATTTATCAGCTAAAACTCCTGTTTTCTTGTGGGTGTAAAATGCGGTTTTATTAGCAACATGTTGAAGAGTCTCCTAAGATTACAATCAGGCAAGCAATTATACCACTGGAAAATGTATCCCCGTGCTATTTTGGAATACAGATAGTCCTTGACTTATAACAGTTCATTAAGTGACTGTCCAGAGTTGCAACGGCACTGAAAAAAGTGACTTAACGACCCTTGTTCACAGTTACAACCCTTGTGGCATTCCCCCACGGTCATGTGATCAAAATTCAGACACTGGCAACCGACTCGTATTTATGACGGATGCAGAGTCCCAGGGTCCCTTTTGCAACATTCTGACAAGCAAAGTCGGTGGGGGAACCCGATTCGCTTAACAGCCGTGCTACTAGCTTAACAACTTGCAGTGATTCACTTAACAACGGTGGCAAGGAAGATCTTAAAATGGGGCGGAACTCACTTAACAAACGTCTCACTTAGGAACAGAGATCTGGGGCTCAATTTATTTATTTATTTTTATTTATTTTATTTGATTTATATCCCGCCCTTCTCCCAACGGGACTCAGGGCGGCTCACAGCATATTAAAAAACATAAACACATTTACAACCCCACCCAAGTAAAACCAATTAAAACCAAATATTTAAAGCTGTGCTATTTAAAATTACTCTTAAGATAAACCCAATTTAAAATCCTCCCTAGGCCAGGCCCGCTT